AATATATTTTACCGAGAAATCAAAGCAAAACAAAGAGGAATTACACGTTTGTTTGAGAAAATAAAGAAAGAATTATGTATGATTCCAAGCATGAAAATAACGTGTATACTCGTCAAATGCAGTTAACAGGTTATTGATTCAAAAGGAAACACAGAAATGAAAAAACTAATTAATCGAGCAACATAGGAATCGATATAAAGTTAAACAAACGAAAGAGACCGCAGAGTTTTAAATCAAATTTTAAAACCGATCATTTGACCGGTTCGCGGTGCGGTTTAGTGTTAACGACCACGAGCCCGAGCGACAAACGAAAACCGCAAAGTTTCCATGCGCTCTCTAAAAATCGTTGGCCTCGCTGATTGAAAATGATGATGTCCAAACGTTTGCTATTCCGAATTAATTCCCGCTCACAAAGTTGAATCCAACGGTTTGCGTAACGACGAAACGCGTCTGAAGAAGGTCATTTGAGAAGCAGAAAAAAGGCGAAGCGTTTAACAGGGAGGGAATAATTCACTCAAAGCACATCGTAAAACCATTAGCATCGGCTGTAAAAGTTCCTCTTGCTCTTTGTAAAAACTCCACAAGGCATCCGACATCGGTGCATTAAACGTTCGGCAACCGGAATCCTGTTTCGTTCTCGATGAACTATTTTTTTCTACCGGTCGGTTCGCTCGCGAGATGTTTCGGAAAAATTGTCGCCAACGCTCGATATACTTTCCGATTGAAAATTTTAATGGAGCAATTCTGCTACTGGTTAATTGAAAATCGTTCTATGGATTCGAGTAAAATAGATTTTCGATTTTCAAAGTTTTATTGGTATAATTAAACCGTAGATGTTCGTGTAAACGTTTTTCTTATCTATTTGTGGGCTAATTAGTAGGAGTCAACGAAAAATTCATTTTCTTAAAGATTCTATTGTGTTAGGAGTTAAACCTTATTGGAACATATTAAATAGGTTTGTATAATAAATTAGAAATAATCGTGTGTATAGATATTCGCGGCTTAACACTAGGGCTACCGAGTATTTGATATGATTGATATGTAATCCCTGTAAAAATGGTAACAGTAAATTATTTTCCGTTCCTTCGGATATTCGTTTCAGATCATTTCAAATATTCAATGCTTTTGAAGTATCAATAATTGCGAAACAAGAAAACTGAAACCGGTCATTTTGATTGGCATGGTAGATATAGTGTTACTTACTTGAGTGTATTAAGACGTCTTGCAAAAGAATAATCGTTTGTGATACAATAATACGTACAATGTAAAATATTAACATAATATTATTGACTATGCTGGGGAATTGGGTTCCCAGTTTTGGTTCATACGAAAGATATATATTTTAACTTATAAGGAACTCGTATCGAGCTGATATTGCATGACATGGCTCGAATAAGTCGTCGATGTAGTTTGCGATCGACTGCAGAACATTTGATTAGTTATTTTGCAATTATGAGCGTTAAAAAGATATTGAGTGAAAAAGTTTTGATCTTATGTAGCTGTTTAAAGCATTTTTTTAAACTTTTGATTGAAAAATTGAGAGAATTAAGTATACTACTGGATTTTACATTCCGTAAGTTGTATTTTTCATATTTAAATCATTTCTCTATCTAACGCTGAAGTGTAGATTTTTAATTCTTTTTAATTACGACTCACGGGGTAAAACGGGGCGCCTTATGTATAGAGAGAAATGGTAATGTCTTTAATTATTGTAAAAAATGTACGAGTGCATGTAAGCATGTGTATGTTGCTTCTGAGGTGCGAAATGTGTGTAAACAAATGTGTGCGAGTCTTCTTTTGATTTTCCAATCGCTAGAAATGCAAATAGTTATGTTTCGACTGCGGGTCGATGGTGTACGATTTATTTCTCTATTTATTTTATTCATTTTCACGCTATTTGCTTACATAAAATTACTCGAAGTGAGTAATGAGAAAACTGGTTCCAAAGCAGGAAAACGTAGAAAAGTAAAAACAGTAATGCATTCTCGAAAAGCAACTAAAAAAGGGGAGAACATAAACTCAGAATAGTCTTCTACTGATAGATGCATTTTGTAATGAATTTTATGTTCATTCAAAAACAAAAATAATGGATTCAGTGCATGCAATATCAGGGCTGGCCCATGAAGATTACACCAGTGCAGAAAAGCAAATGATACATTTATTTGCGATTTTTGCTTATCGAATAACATACACTTATAATTCATTCATGTCAGTTAATAATTTTCATTTGGTAACAATAAAGAATTTTTAAATTTTATGTGACTTTAAATGAGTGTTCCGTTTTACCGTACCATTTTTGGGAAGCGGATATTTCTCTTTCGTAACCATATATTTATAAGTCAAAAATTAGTAACAAATGTCATTTTCAATCATTTAGACAAATATAGAACGATTCTGATTTAATTGAGTTTATAGAAACTTATATTAAGAGCTTAGAAACTTTTCTCGTATTTATAAACAATTTTACTTGATCATAAGTGTATATAATACTTATCTTAATTGCTAACCAAACAAAAACCATTTTTATTGCAATAAGTTGACAAATATCTTTCGTATGAAGCACAACTGGGAACCCGGTTCTCCACCATAATCAACTACTCTGTTTTGATCCAAAATGAGTTAATTAACTAAATATTAAATATTTATACTTCGATATACGATAAGAAAGAGAATAAAACTGCAAAATACTCTTTAAAGACTACAAAGTACAAATAGTACTTTTTTGAATAAATTGTTCAATACCAAGATGTAAAAAACAATTACAAAACAACCATTTCGCCATCGAAATGTTAAATCTTTTCAATTAATAATTTTTAACTTCTTTTGCACGAGACACTGTGATGATACCTGTTCTAGGACTCATCTGATAACATCAGGATGACCACCCGAAAGTGACGGAATGTTTTGATTGCATTATGCAGCCCGTATCTTAAAAGAAAAACAATAGAACCCGGTTTCGTACAACTCACCCCTAAGTAAGAGATATATATTTTCCTTCGCCATATTTAATTACTTACAAGACAATGCGATAAAATATGTGATGATTGTTTAACCCCTTCAGACCTAGAGCACATTATAATGTATTTTACTACTTAAATATCTGACAAAATATTAGAACTCTGACAGGCAGCCGTATATACTCTTTCGTTGAGTCCATTTCTACCAGAAAAGTAGTATACTACCTCTATTTTATTCAAAATAATGTCGTTACGGTGCATTCAATGGCGGTCCATTGTTGTTCGATAAGTAAACATAATTTTATACAAAAATCAAGTCTGAAGAGGCTGAAATAATTATACAAAGATTTATAACATTTGTTTCTTTATTCTGACACACTTTTTGTACAACTTCCAACTTTCCCATCTTCACATCACGTCACTCTACTTTCTATCTACAGCCTTATACAGCAACATTACTGTTTATAAATGAAAGTTTTACCTGGAATACGATCCTAATTCGATTTTCCTGGTAAAACTGTAATACTTTGTTAAGAAAAATCAGCATAAGTATTCACGTATCGCATAACAAGCATGATACGTCACTTCGTACGCCGTCGGTCCTAGAACATTTTACACGATATTCACTTAAACAGTATGGTTCGCTAACTCTCTGATTACTGTAATGTCGACCAGTTGCGCCATGTTTTCCAAAAGAATTTTAATCAATTCGCATTCCAAGTCGCACAACACGTTATAGTCGTTACTGCACTGTAACACTAAAATTAGCAGAGGGGTTAACATGACCCATTACTGATTTCTTCTTGTTGCGATGATTAAAAAGACGACAGACGTTTCGCTGAGTAATTATTAAAGAAATTGATTTAGCAATACGCAAACTGATTTGTAAATCAATGAAAGCCTCGATAGATGCACTCTTGGAGTTTCTATAGAGCAATTTCAAAAAGGCAATTTAACCGCCCGGTAGCGTTAAATGATTGCATTACGTTTAGCAATGGCGAACGGATCTTCTCCATTTTTAACTGCGCCGTATAATGTTCGAAGCAGGTTACAAAGAACCGTAATACACTGGCGATAGATGTAAATATGTAGGTGTGCAAGTCTATCGCGTCGAAAACAAATGTGACAAGTATCCTAACAAATAATTCAATGAAAATTGTGTTACAGTAGCGAACATGTTCGTGAAAGACAGAGCGTTAAATGTTAATCATTTTAAAGCATGGTGAAAGGGTTAACGAAATATGAGACTAAGAATAAAGAAGTTTTACCTCAGTCCTGCGTTACTTTTATATCAACTTGACAGGCAATTTTTGATAACAAGAACCGCGTTACATCAAATCATAGAATGATTAGAACTTCCTCTAAGATTCCTATTTTAACGCTAGAACAACCGAGTGTTTAACATGTTGACTGCCACGAGAATTTCGAGCGTTTTTTGTAGTAACTCTTACTCCTTCGTAGCGAAGGATAAATAAATAATTAAATATTTTTATTCGATGTCAATGTTCTTATTGCAATGGTTTTCGAGTAATTTGGAAGCTCAATGGCAGTCAATGTGTTAACATGATTAACATGTAATCCTTATAACAACTGTCACAATAGATTTTTTTATTTCTCTACACTATATCGATTACAGTATTGAAGTGAAACTATTTTCCAAGTCATTTCTGATATTTAACACTTTTAAGATATCGATACTCGCGAAATTAGAAAATTAAAATCCGTCATTTCGACAGGTGCGGTTGTTCTAGCATCAACTCATGTTTCATCCATCAAAGCTACTCGACTCACGCAAAACTGACTGTCAAATCTAAGATTTGAACTTTCACGACGGAACACCGCAAAGTTCTCATCGTCTAAACTCTCGACGATGAAACAGCGCAGCTGACACTCGAATGGCCCAGAATCGGCTAATCGCGTTCGCAAAGAAACATTCCCACACATCCTAGACACAACATCCGATACCAAAATGTCCCACGACGGGCCTCTACATCGACGCACGCTTCAAACACTCCAAAAACCGCAAGAAAGCGGGCAGCTTACCTTGAAAAGGGTATCCAGTGAAGTACGGTGCCATGTTCAGAGTGCTGACTGCCATCTAGCTGGTTGCTCCAGTCCTCGAGAGTCTCTAATCACCAAATCACCACAAGAAAAAAAAAAGTTCGAAACGAAAATAAAATCTCTGTTCCCCCGGATGATCCTCGATTCTTTAAATTCCAGTCACTTGGCCGCGGACAAACGCGATTCACTAGATGTACGAGCGACAGGAAACGAAGACAGGGGAGCAAAGAACAGGGAAAGAAATGGCCGAAAGAGAGAAAAAGGGGAACACCGTGTGCGGAAACGAGCCCCACAAAACCCCGAAACGATGGTCTCGGTGCGAGAGCGTGTCAGGCTGCGTGAAATCGACGGAAACGGAGTGCATCGACGTATAATTTCCGGATGCTAGGATGCGACGATCGTGTGAGACCTGTTTGCTTCGGGCTCTGGGCTCGAACTGCTCGGTTGCCGAATCCCCGGTACACTGGCAAGAAGGGAACGCTAGGGAAAGAAAGGAAAAAGAAAGGAACGGAGTACCTGAAAGAGTCGAGGAAAGCTCCGCCTTCTTCCTGGGGCCTGTCGAGGAGGGAATGCCTGGGATGAGAGGTACCTTAATGGCTCTAGCCACGCGGTGCATTGGTCACCGGCAAGGTGATGCCGAACAGGCGGAGGTGGTCTTTTCCTTAGCTCCTCCCTGCCAGGTCTTCTCCTTAGCTGGCGCAGGCCTGTTTGACTTAACCGCCACGCATTTCCCTGGCGTTCTTTGATCTCCGATCGGCCAAGGGAGATCGGTAGCTAAACGAAATATGTAATGACGTTTAATCGATTTACCCGTCGAAACGATCGGGGCCCCCCCTCTCTAATATCCTTTGTTCGATCTATCATTGGTTACGGCTGCCATTTCCGATTTCCAATATTATGGATTACTTATCGTTCGCCCGTTGAAATTTATCGGCGCATTAAGCATCGTTGTTGGTGGCCGATCGGGAAACGAAGAAGGGTTTCCGCTGTTTACGTCTTCCCGGATAAGAGGAGGTTGTATATTACCGTCCGCGGCAAAAAGACATCGCGTGGTCGCGGTAACGCGATGGTAACAAGAAACATTGAAGTTCCACCGAGCCACAAAAGGCTCGTTGTGTGTATTAGAGACACGTGGGAAACCGTGATTGGCTGGGCCCGAGTGAATAACGAAAGAGGTGTAAACATTTTCGTTTATCGCCGAACGGGAAACTCCGGGGAAATGAAATGTTGCGTGGAGGTGCGGAGATGTTATTTTCATTCGAAGCGAACTCTGTGTGCGCAGGGTAGACCAGGGCGAATCGGATCGGTTCAGATTCGACGGCGAAAATTGATAGTTGAAACTGAAAATGAACATTTTTTTTGTGAATTTGTTATTAACACTAGAACGAGTCGAGTTGACTTTTCAAAATTTTTGTATGGAAACCTCAAGAGTGCATCTATCGAGACTTCGATCACTCAAAGCTTAGTTTGCGTATTGCTAAAACAATTTCTTTTGAAATTTCTTAGAGAAGGGTTTATTGTTTTTTCGATAATTGTAAGAGAACAATTTAGGAATGGGTCATCTTGACCCATCTGGTAGTTCTAGTATTAATACACGTTAACCTTCGATTTTTAGAGTTTTAAGAAACTTGAAAATCTCCGTTTTATAAGTAGAAATCTGAAGAATGAGGAATATTCGATTCACCTTTAAATTTTGGTGAATAGAATTATTCGGAACTATAAAAAATATTCAAATTTTTGTAGAATCCTTTTGTTTAATCTGCAATTGTATAATTGGATGATAGTAAAATTAATTATTTACACATTTGTCGCAAATATACTACTTTCTAACACTACATCTATGAACACGGTTTTCGTGACACGACCCTTCGCAAAGATTGCATTGAACAAATCCTTTGAAGGTAGTTGGAGAAATGTTTCATTGCAATAATGCAATATTATTCTCTGGAAAATCCTGTATTTATGTCATTAATTCATCATTGCTCATTAGTCTTCACCCTTATTTTAACAGTGTCACTCTTTGGCCTATTCTCTAACTTCTTTTGTTATTTTTCAAGAAGTATCATTTTATGACAGATGATGACAAATGTAAAATTTGTTTTTCAGTTATTCGACAAGTAAATCGCCTTTGTAAGGTTGTATAAGGTATGCGATAAATTTTGAGAACTTGACGTATGGTCAGTTTTTTAGAGCTAATTTTTATTTTTGCTATGTTCCATGATCCCTGATTTGTCTTTTTTGTACATACGCACCACCTGTATATAAATAAACATAATATTTATAATTATAGAAATACTCAAATGAGGGAATCATTCGCGATTCGCCTCTATTCCATGATCTGATTCGCCCCGAACGTAATGATTTCAAAGAGAATACAATAAATAAACAAGATATGGTATAATAATCTAAAGTATATTAAATATTGAATTCAGACACCTTAGAGACTAGTAATAACAAACACATTTGAATTTCCAAGCTTAGCTTGTCATTTTAAACATGAAATTCCAATTACACATTTTAGACCAGCAATGAATTCGTTGCATTTACTTCAATTCTAACTCGTGCTAGTGGTAAACAACGATTTGAAACAATTGAAGATATATTGGATTAAGCGTGGGGAAAGTGTATGAAGTAATATAGACAACTTGCGAGCTGATTTCTATAAGAACGTAACAAATATGGCTAATATTCCTATCTTCATCCGATTCGCCTCGGTCTACTTTAAACTCGGTATCTAATTTTTCTAATTTTTTTTTATCTGTTAGGAATTCTACTTTGCGATACTGTAACGCAAAAAAAATAGAAAGAAAATGACAAATTGAATTTTTGAAGCTGTCGCGGTTAGGGAGATCCCTTAACTCTTTTAATATCAGCGGTCATAAGCCTGCGTGACTTTGAAATCAGACACCAGTACATTAGGTTGATTTATTTAATTTTTTACCACAAGATCACGAATGAAATCAAATAATTAATCAACTTAAAGTTTTATACTCACAGAGCTGAACGTTCAAAGTCATTGTAACTTCAAAGTTACAATATATATTCGTTTTAATAAGATTATTAAAACTATCGAATACATTGTTAATTTTTATTTATGCGTTGACATTTATTAATCATATTAATCATATTAAATAAATTTTGTTATAGTGACGAAACGAAGTTCGGCCTATTGGGGGTTGAAAGGCACTTGTTGAGAAGTCTAGAAGAATTGATGTAAAGAAAATACCAAAATCTTTCAAATTCTATAAAATGTTTTAGCTTCTCGTGATTATAAAAGGAAACAATCCACATTGATGATTGGTTCACGTGTTGTCTTAATTTGTAAATAATTCCAATCCGGCGTCATCTGAAAATAGAAGGCGATAATGGTAAATCGTTACGACGAACATTTTCAAAGTTATCAGAAATAACAATAGATAGTTACCTTGAACTCGAAAGGGTTAATTAAAAATTCGGTCGCTACAATCGTTTTTTCGTTAAAACTCGGGATTTATTAGTGTTTCGAACGTCCATCACGGAACTTTAACAGACAATCATGGGATAAAAGCAATATTGCGTGATCCGATCAATGAAACGGTACAAAGTTCAAAAAGGTCCGCTTCTCTACGTGTACACCGCTACTACATTTGTAATCAGATCCACATCGTTAATTAAATTAATTACATTCACCAATTACACGTATATTTAATTGAATCGTGGCATTTCGCTGCGTGATTATCCATCTATTCACGAATCGATATGGTGGAAAATTTCACTGTAATGTTTTTCTCTACCTGAATTGAGTATTTCATATGATTGACTTTTTTTAATCGACATCCTAAAGCACTTAGAACCAGAATTTGATATTACAATTTCAAGGAGATGTTGTATAAGACATTATTTGATAAGAATTTGAAATCGTATGTTAGTTTAATTTGTCAGTGAACGATCTCTTTTGTCCCTACTCGGAGCATTAAACATTTCAACTTGATTCCCTGCTGCGACAAAGCCATCGTTTCTGATTCGCGTGTAATCACCTCGGAGATTAGCCGAAAGTAAGCTGAAATCGCTTGGACGAGCGTCATAATCCAACACAATAGGCCTTGAAACCATGTTAATACGTGAGACTCATATAAAGTTATTTACAGCTACGTTTTCCTCAAGCTGCATCCTAATAGTACAGCGTTACTATACAATGTATATGCTATTAGAATGTTTATTGTGCTTTCTTTTTAATTTTACTCGACAAAATTGCGTGGACAATTTCGTAACATCAGACATTCACCATTAATGTAAATTTTGATAAGATAGACCGAGGAGAATCAGGTCAATTCGGATTTAACAGCGAAAAACTAATAGTTAAAACTTACAATCAAAATTTTTTTCGTAAATTTCTTATTAATACACATTTAGCTTCAATATGAATCAACAAATTTTTATAAAACTTAACAATCTTCATTTTATAAGCAACAAAGTGAAAACTGAGAAATACTTGATTCCCTGCAAATGCTGGGAAACGGATATTTATCACATCTCAGTTTTAAAAAATTAATTTTTACTCATATTGAAGTCTTATTAATAACAAATTTATGAAAAAAAATGTCGATTCTAAGTTTTAACTATTAGTTTATTGCTGTTAAATCTGAACTGGCTTGATTTACATCGGTATACCCTACACCATTTTCAGTTGCGCCGATTAATTCAGCCTAAAAGCTAGTAACGATGCAGTTACATGAGTCACTCACTAACCAAGCCGATTAAAAGAAAATGAAAAACTAGACGAAACTGATGCAATGGTATACATTGCATTCTTAAATCCCCCTTCAAGTGGAAAGTCAAATATTCATTATAGAATGTACATTTTTTAATTTACCAACGATATAGGACGTATAAAATAGTATTATTTCGAAGTAATCTTTCTTACTATTACAATTCTTTCATAGCTGGAAGAATTATTTTTATTTGCTGGTACTAAATCCAGTAACACGGAAATTTATTTTAACATTAACCATGGCGGCACTGTTCGTAGCGTAACCGGTGAAATAGCTGGCTACAAAA